CTAATATTAATTAAATCATTTAAAGCTCACGGTGAGTTAAACTTGTAAGAAAGAATTAATCTGAGAAATGAATACAGAGTACACAACAAGAGAAGAATACAGTACAAGCAACTTACTCAGCCGTTATTCGACGCTGTAAAGGTTAACGTTATTTTATGATGACCTGTACAAGCGCAACACCCGCAGAACATCTTACTAATATGCGTGTATAGTAACCATTAATTAACAGTCTGACGTCCTTACTGGTCGTTGATAGAAACTAGGATGATTAAGGAAGCTATATAATTACGGCGCATTGTGCGAAACAACGGCTTATCCGTGCGGTATGTTTGTAGGTAGCGCTATGCAAACAAGGGAGATTATGTTGTTCGATATTCTTTCGTTACATAAATTTGTCGAATAGTAAGCTACTTAAACTTTCTTTCAAATCTCTTAGTAAGCTCCGCAGTAACGAAGTTGTGGAAGAAGAGTGCACCATTTTATATAAGGACGCATTTTATGTAAAACTCGACTTTATATAAAATCAACCTCTCCTTAACACGTTGTAATTAACAAGCGACACTTTTCCTTCAATTTCTGCTGGTAAATGATGGCGTTTGTATTTGGTTTTACTGCCTCGTTAAAAATGTTCATTCAATGACAGTGAAATAATCGGACCATGAATTATAAACGAATAAACGTGAAAAAAAAATTATAATTTTTTTATGGAAGGAAAATGACATGAAGGGAGAGAATGTGTGTGTGTCTGTTTTGTTACGCAGCGAGTTAATTACAATTGGTCTCCAATATGCAGAGGAAGTAATTGCAATTATAAAATGTGAATATGAAATTTCGCTTTTGAAGGTTTTTCTTACCTTTTTTTAAGAGATGCTAAAAATGAGTTGAAGAATTTTTTTAATGATTTTATGTTTATGTGATATATATTGTCACAGCACTTATCAAGATGAGCGAAAGTGAAATTTTTTTTATGCAATTGCGGAGCTTGCTTTTATTCTTATCGTAATCAGCGTGCAAGGCTCAACGACATATAATTTCGAAAGAGTTGCCGGTTTCTTATCACTTATACATCCATGACGGATTATCTCAGAGGTATTCCTCCGTTCCTAATGCGCCTTTCTCATTTTCTCATCTTCTCTTAGGACAGCACTTCCAAAATCTTATTATTCCGCAGTATTATTGACTCTTTCACCGGCGACGCCGGTTTCGGTACCTTCTCGGAGCTATCCACTTTAAGAAATAATGTGCAAAATTTGTGATTCCCCTAAAGGTAAAACTTTATTACATAAAGTATCCCAAAATAATTCTTAGTAGTTTATTAAAAGTTTTTAGCATTATGTGAATTTTATGAGCGCCGCAGGCGAAACTTTGATAGCGCTTGCGATATTCATCATTAGCTCTTGTAAAAATTTTGTGTTTTTATTCACCTCTCCTGATACTCCTTTCTTAATAATTCCTTCCTCCTACTCTTATCTGATAAATGTGTCAGTATCGAAACCAGCGTCTCTACACATTCTTCGTACAGGTACTGCCCCAGTCACCTAATTCTAACACAACACATCGAGAATTACGCAGGATAATATTCCCTAGCTTAAGTACAGTACTATACGGCTGTAAGTCTTTAGATACGGAAGCATATGTATCGGACGTGGGTGTATGTGTGTAATGTATGTCTTTCGCACGCGTACCCACGTAGTTCATTCATTCGATCATTACGAATCGTTCTTTATGCAAGTCGAACAGCTGTCGGTGCGTACGCGCAATGCGATCGATTGTACGGAGTAGTATGCACGTCTGTTAATAATAACAAGGAAAAATGCTTATTTCTGCAAGCTATCAATCGATTTGTAATAATACTCTGTGTCGTTTGTATGCACCTTCGGTTTATTTAATAATAACATAAAACATAAATTCGAGTGTTCACTGAAAAATATTTCTATTTAAAAATGGACGAATTAGAATTTACTGATTAAATTTATTAGAATTTTCTATTTGTATAATCGGAATTCTGTGGTACAATATTTCTGATAAAATTTACTAAAATTCTTATTTTTATTAGAATAATTATATCAATCAGAATTTTAGTTATCTCAACTAGAATTCTAGTAGATTTAACCAGAAAATTCTGATTCGGACATTTTCCAACAGAATTACTATTTAATCTAACCAGACCATTTTTCTCAGTATTCCCTTGTCCGAAATTTAATAAAAACTAAATGTAGATTTTATTAAAATAACACGCTGTGTTAATGTTGAAATCATTTATAACTTACTATTGCGACTTGACGTGCAACAAGATAAATTTCGGACCTAAGTTAGATCGTTAAGTCAACACAAGTCGTTCGATGTACACAAACGGCACGATATAGTTCTATTATTCTACCACGGTATAATGTATAATAATTATTACTCTCTACGCGACGTACAACAACGATCATTAGTCTTGTCGTTTTCCATCTTATCGTAGCTGCACCGCAACGTATTGACGACAGTTAGAAAAATTTTGCGCATGCACCGTATATACACGGCGAACTTTCTCCGGCGTGACACGCGCGTTTTCGCGTCACGTTTTTCACGAATGTGTGAATATATCTGCTGCAGTCGGCACGAAGATCATCGGAGGGACTCGTCGAATTTATTTATTTATTTTATTTTTTTTTTTTAAGGAGACGCTCCTGTCTCGGAAGGAAATCCACGGGAGAAAATTCCCGTCGTTGGCTCGCTTCGCGATGGAACGTGTAGAAAATGTAAGAAGTACAAGCTGCGGAGATATTGTCGGCGTAATACTGTCTCTCTCACACGATGGCGCAAGTTACGAGAGGTACGCGAGGTATCGATTTTTCTGCATTCACGCGCGATTGAATGGGATGTATCGTCCCGCGGAATATATCGTTGCACTAAACATGTGCGTATCCAGGCTGACATTAATATCGGTGGCAACGATAAGCGTCATCGATTTTGGAAGTCCCTGTATTTATACGACGGATACTCAAAACGTTTGTTAACCGGTTATCGTTATCGATCACAATTGGTAGCCCATCTACTTAACTTGATCCAAAAAACGCGTCGTTAAGTAAAAGGTGCCTCGGGCAATCGTTCTTACTGATCGGAAACGTTGCAAAATTGACTCTAGATACTTCGACTTCGCGTAAGTTATAAGAGAATATGTGTGAGTGTAACAGTGGTGGATGTGGATGCAATATTCTATGATGTCAGGAACTAAGAATTCGGTATTCGTAGTTTCATATTATATTCAAGACCGGTGTCGCGTGCGCGATCTTAATGTTATATGGATTTATAGTTGCGATATAAAATTCACGCCCAATCATCTTACGTGACTCTACACGGGATTTTAAGATCGCACTTCGGATAATCCCGAGTATAAGATTCAACTATGAATATCGCAAAGGAATGATCTTTCGTATATACCGCGTGTTTATTGTCCACGCGTATCGGGAATCGCGCGAAACGTGCTTATTTACCAGCGACCGGTCGTCGTTGGATTTCTCGCGCGTTTCTCTCACTCGTCTCGAATGATTTCATCGCGTAAATAATCGCGCCTCTAAAAGCCTGTTGTCTTTCTTCACGGACTCTTATGTTACTTCTCTTAACCATGTATCATGTGTTTTGCCGCAAACTCTTTACAGATCACGGAAATGCCGGACCATTCGCCGTAGCAATTTCCACTCGGGGATCGTTTTACGTCTATTTTCTTCTCTCTCTCTCTCTTTGCACTATGAACGACTCGCGTGCGGTGCACTCGAGCGTTTCCGGTATGTGTCTTTATAGGCGTTTACGGGAGCGATGGATTGATTCGATGTTTTACGAAATGCAATTTTCCACAGTGTCTGCGCGACGTGCATTCTTATCGCTATAATGTGACTTATCGTTATGCCCTCTGCGATTCTCAGGTAACGTTCGACGCGAACAATGGCGCTTGTACTTCGTACAACATTTGACAATGAGGATGTGCGAGTGAAAATAAAGGACGATAATAAGGAAAATGTATGTCGAATGTGAATATCGAAAATAACAGGTGAGATAAGAATAATTTGTCGAAGCAAAAAATAATTTTTTGTGAACAATCGTATCGCATTTTTCGCAGGCATATTTTCACAACACTTGTCCGCGTCGCTCAGACACAGCAGATAGATTCTAATGATAATAGTTACTAGCTTAAAGCGTATCTACGAATAAAGCACCATCTAATTACGTCTAAAATGCTTATTAAATGAGCTTCCCGGTGGCCATGCGTCGCCCGCATGGGATCTCGAGATCAATCATCATCGATCACAATAAATCGATCGCTAACGACGCGGCGTTTTCTCGCCTCTTAGAAATATTGCTTGATCAAGCGTTAGTGGTGTTACACTTAAATTGACTAGTACCGTTTGTAACATGTATCTCACACAACCATCTCAGAGGCTCTCGGTCTCTTAACAACCTTAGTGAAAGAGAGCGAGTAAAATTGTCGTCGCTCTCTTTGACGGCAAAGCTTGACTTCCTTTTGGTGTCGCTCGCAACATTGACTAAGTATTACGTGTCACTTGGTGGCACGATCTTAACTTTAACGCCAAATATTGTTAAATTCGCAGTATCTCACCCATTTTACAGTCAGTCGACGTACCCGCGTACTCGATGTTCGAGATGTATATGAGCTGCATCATGAATTCGAAGCACGCGGGAAATCAATCGTTCGTCGAGAACTTTACGTCAGTTGCCAAAATGGCCAAAATGCTAAAGCACTGAGAGTAAAACGCCTAGCTTTTTTTCGACGGTACGTGTGCAAGTACCGTCGTTGAGATAAATTTCATTCGAACTTGACAATAATTGGATATCAGTATCGGGGGATGTTGCGTCCAATAAAAAAATGTTAGAATATTATTGCCAATCGCAAAAATGACGCGAAATGTGGTAAAAGCGATTCATAATTTCACCCAACCTCCGAATCTCGAGTACGCTTTACAGAAGTTTTCGTGTCCTCACTTGATCATAATACTCACTGCCGTGGGTCCCTGAGAGATAGCGTTCTCCTTGGAGGCCTCTTCGACCTCCTTGAGCTTCTCCTCGGCCTTACGTTCCTTCAAGGCCTTGAGCAGCTTCCACTTGGACCCGGGCGGGCCAGGACTCACCTGGCCCTCCTTCAATGTCGTGTCCGAGCTTCCGCAGGACGAGGAGTCGATCTTGATCTTCGGTAGACTCAAGGTCGCCGTTGTAGCTGTCTCGGCGCTACCGGCTCCATCGCGCTCGAGGCCTTCAAGGACAGTGCTTTCAGAATCCCAAGCTCCCGGGATGCTGACCGACACTTCGCTAGGTGGTACACTTACGCTACCTTCGCGGGATAAAGAATCCGAGCCCTGTGGCATCTTCTCGCTGTGACGTAGCGTCGAACCGTTGGAGCTTCGTCGTGACTGCTGCTCTTCGAGATCCTTCGGCAGCTCTTCTTCCTCTTCCTCGTCCATTGACTGTCCGGGACTGTCCGGACCGGATGTCTCGCCGGAGGAACCCTCTTCCGTGGATGGCGGAGGCTTCTCCTTCTTAGCTTCTAACTCGTGCGCCCACGTATGGTAATCGGTCACCCTGGCGAATACAGCTTCCACACTTTCTGCAGATTTTCGCTTAGGAATAGGCTTTTCGTCGCGATATCTGCTATCGTTTTCTTCGAAGCGATGCTCTTTGATTACCGTACCGTTCATTCTGCCTCGCGATTCTTCCCTACCTTCTTTTCTCTGATCCTTTGGTTTCGTGATGGCTTTGAGCTTGAGCTCCTTCAATACAAACGACATCTTCTCTTTTACCGTTTCATCCGGCTGGTAAACTTCGTCTTCAGGTTCCTCGATCAATGCTTCGGTCATCTCCATTTCGGATTGTCTCTCCAGCTCTTCGAGTTTTCTTAATTCGTAACAGTACCATTCGTCTTCGGAATCAATAGAATCCTCTGTGCTTTGCCGTCTTGAAGACACTCTCGATGTGCTTCTGTATGAATGAGTGCTGCGATTATCCTCATCAGGTTCACCCGGTCGCGAACCAGTCCAAGGAATCTCTAGAGATTGCTGATGGCGAGGTAGAAATCGAGTTCCTCCTGTAGTATTGTAACCCCTTATGGACGTCGACGGACTGCCCTCTGACGGCGGAGCTTCTTCTGATAAACTGGTAACCAATTCCGGTAATTTTGCGCTGCCAGACTTCTCGCTCTTCTCGCTTTTTTCTGATACATCCTCCGGATATTCAAAACTTGTTTCCAAAGTTTGCGTTGGACCCTCCTCGGTTGGTTTCTTTTCGTTATTCTCGTCAGTGACCAATTGTTCATCGGACACTGTCGAGGATTGTCGTTGGCGATATTTGCCGAGCGCTCGTGACACAGCGAATTCCATGCTCGAGCCACCGATCAAGGTAACCGGAGGTAACTTTGGTGCCTTCTCATTGGGAGCCTCATCCGAACTGCCTGTTGACCTCTTAATATCGCCAACGGTTTGAAAGATCGACGATCCACCGGATCCCGAACCGGTACTCTTACCAGAAGCTTCTTCTTCGAGCAAAGCCATCTGATCGCCGTTCGTTTCATATTCGTTAATCTCCATTTTTCTTTGATTTTCTTTCTCTTTGGCCCACGTATCCTGAAGAGCCTGTTGATGCAATTGCTCTTGGTGCTGTTGAATCTGCTGTTGGAGCGCTTGCTGCTGTTGTTGAAGCGCCTGTTGCTGCTGAAGTTGTTGCAGCTGTGCTTGTTGTTGCTGAAGTTGTTGCTGCTGTTGCATATATTCCTTTTGCTGCGCTTGAATCTGTGCTTGTTGTTGCTGTTGTTGTGCTATCATCTGCGGTGGCATCGGAGGCGGCTGCTTTCTTTTCGTGCTCGCAGTTTTTACTTTGGCAAAGAAAGGCGGTTCTTGAACGATATCAGATATGACGCTATCCTCATCTTCCGAGAGACCGCTTTGCCGACCACTGCTCCATTCTGTCTCAGACTGTTCCGGATCGGATAAAGATTGCGACTGATGACTGCGACGCTTGGCCTTCTGGAGAATGCCGGAGACCGTGGAAACCAGCGTATGTTTTTTCTTTTTTCTGGCCGTCTGAGCTCTGCCTCGACCTCTGCCTGTCATTTCAGCAGGCAATCTTTGCTGCTGAGCTTCTTGCACGTCTAGATCTTCTCTTCTGACACCACCCGGTAATGATTGACTTCTGTGACGTTTGGTGAGGTGCAAATCGGGCAGCCAATTGCTCATAGAGCTCATTGCGTTCTTCAGCGAAGAACCTCTTCTAATTTTCTTCGACAGCTTACTATTATCGACCTCATGATCTTTCAAATTTGAGGCGATACTGATGTATCCAGATTGCGAAACTATTACACTCGAGGCGTCGTAATACTCGCTTTGCTGCGTCTGTTGTTGCTCCATGGATATTCTTCCACTCTCGTGATCTTGAATGTACTGATGTTCTCTTTGCCATTGTCTTTGATAACCGTCCGCGAGTTGTGCGCTCTCGGCACTACTCAGTCGCTGACTGTATGGCTGATACTGTTGCTGGTAAGCTTGCGGATAATTCTGATTCGCGTAAATGTGATGCTGTTGATACGCCGAATGCGCTTGATAGGCCGGCGGCTGGGGATACCTTCGATCCGTGTACGGGCTTTGAGCGTAGCTCCCGTCGGAAGTTAAAGACCTGATGCTGGAAGATGTTGAATCGTGAGGTATCTGCTCTTCCATAGAGTTCAGCCACGATGAGCTCTCGTTTGTCTCTGTACGCGGCAGATTAGTCACGCTAGTCGGATAGTACGAGAGAGCATCCGTAATGTTGCCGGTGGGGAACATGGTGCGATACATCGCCGCTTTGTACCCTTCATGGTTCGTCATGCCATCCGTAAAAGAGCTTCCACGTATTGGCTTCTTTCCATGAGCCATTATAGCACTTGTCGTCTCCGCATACTGAAGAGTGCCGTAACTGTCTTGATAGTTGGTATATTGATGATCCATCGATTCGGAAGAAGAGTAATAAGCCGAGGTAGTAGTTTTGGGCCCGTAACTTCCAGCACCGCTTGTATAAACACTCGTAATGGCTTGCTGTCGATTACTACCGGCCACAGAGTAAATAGCCGGTTGTTCCGATCTGTAAATATAATCCGCACTCGTACTGGAGGACGTCGCGTAAGTATGTTGCAAGCTCTGCTGACGACTGCGTTTTTTGGGACTCTGACAAGTGGTAGTTACGCCCGGAGCTGGCGGTGGCACAAAAGTATAGTCTTCTTTGACCGGCGACTTGCTGGCGGTTGTATAAGCCGACAAGTGATTCATTGTCGTTGTATAAGGATGACTTGACGTTGTCGTCATGGTGCTCGCAAAGGCGTCTCTACCCTCGGGAGTGTCATAAAGAGGTTCCTGCGTGATAGTGGTGGTAGTGGTCGTCTCTGGAAGCGGCGGTATTGGACTAGATGTTCTGGCGGGCTGTGTACTGGGTATAAGACTACTCGTACGGGTGTGATCCACCGAATAAGAAGTCAGCATTTTAGCGATAGAGCTCTTCGGAGAACACGGCGACTTGTCTAAGCTGCTCCAGCCGCTCATAGAGGACAGACCGGAATCGGACTTAGCTGTGACTATGTTAGCGGCACTGCTGGATTTAACCGCATGTTTTGGCGAGACTCGCGGTGATTTCGGCGACTGATGGGGACTGAGACGACCCTGTTCCATAGAGACCAGTTTTTCCGCGTTTCGCAGGAAACTCGGGCTCTGAGACCTCTTCGTTTCTGGTTCTCTTTGTTCTGCGCCGGGCATGAGGAAGGTTTCGGTGGTGTCTCGCGGCGCTGGCGGAGGTGGTGAGCTAGGCGACGGACTAGGTGGTGTACGACTTTCCTGGAATTCAAGATTGAGCCGAGCTGCGCTGCCAAAGTAACCGTCCTGTCTGGTGCGGAGACCCTGGACACTGTGAACACTGTGTACGCTGCCGGCTGATAAAGTGGGTGACGATACTTTTTCGGTGGTCGTGCTGTAAATGTTGGGCGAGGCGCAAGTGACGGCGGTCGCGAAGCTCTCGGCCATCAGATCTGTCAGTTCCTTGTTCTCTGCGTATCCCTTCGCAAAGCTACCAACATCGATCGGCAACTGAATCACGGGCTCCGGACTCTTTTCTAGTATGGCCGATGTATATCCTAATCTAGGCGGGGTATAAGTAGTCGAAATGGAGTCTAAATTACTCCTGGACGTAGAGGTCAGTCTTGGCGATATAGATCTCGTTGTAAAGTCGCCATCGGTGGCCAATCCACTGTCAGTGCTGACTCTGGAGATCGATCTGCCTGTGGAGCTGGGACTTTTGGAAAAAGTCCAGCTGTCCACGTCAGTTTCCGCGTAAATCTTTCTCAGCTGTTCGTCTATGCTACTTGCTTCCTCAGCTAGTTTGGCCTCAGCTTCGGACGCGTACTGATTCCGTTTTGGCGAATCTATCAATCTCGATTGCAGTTCTATTAGATTTTGCGAATCCTTTTGCAACTTACTGGTTAGCCTATCTATCTCATGCAATTTTTCTAATGCCACCTGATCGAGAGAGCTGAGTCTTGAAAGTTGAGCGAGATCTTGCTCACTGACGCACGGCGTGTTTCCTCTGTAACTTTTATAATCGGCCGCACTGAATACCTCACCCTCGTCTTCATCCGCCTCGTCTTCCTTTTTCATTATAGAAGTTTGCACTTCCTCTTTGGTCGGTTGGCTAGACAACTCTTCCAGTTCTTTTTCCTTTGGTATAGCTTTGTCAAATATGCTGGGTTCGATCTCCTTCTTACCGTTTATATCCTCATCTTCAGCCTCTTCCCAGATCATACCCAGCTGCGACGTCGGTCTTGATGTATCGCCGCAAATTAGATCTTCTCTGTAGGCGTTATTCAGGCTTCTATAGAATGCCTCGTCGGGAATGTTGCCCTCTTCCTCGAGGGTCTCCAAAGTGTCCAAATTCCTGACATTCCTATGCATGTCAGTGACCACAGCCGCGGCCGTTGTACTATCCTGCGTGAGTCCGTGCATCCTCGCCAGCTCCTGTTGAGCCAGTTTCTCCCGTAGTACAGTGGTTTCCTCAATGCTTATCGCAGCACTCAGACTCTTCGCTATCGCGTCTAGCTCGCCTACCGAGTCTTGTTCACTAGCCAAAGTCTCCTCGACGATATTCACGTTGTCATGAGTACCACCGCTAGTATAAAACTCGATCAACTGGCTGATAACTGTCTGCTGCTCGTATAGCAGACCCTCTAACTTTTCTAATCTTTCCCACATTTTGATGTACTCCTGACTGAGAAGATCCAACGCCCGCCAAGCATATTTCAACTCAGTTTCGAGGATGTTCAGTCTCGTGCCTAGTCTCTCCATGTAATCGCCTATTATGTAATCAATATTACCGTCACCGGGCGCAGAGTAGCTCGGCAGGACTGGCGAATGAGTCCTCGGACTGGTCGGCGTTGGACCGCCCAACTTCGTCGAATCCATATTTCAGCCTTATCTGATCGCACTACGCGTCACAAGTACTTTTATCGTAATTCTCTTAATTTTTCTTGTTTATTATGCGCCTATGTTTCTATTTGACGATCCCTGAGGCGATTCATCTTCGAGGCTCGCTCCCAAATCAAGTCACATCCCCCCTTGTGGACCAAGAAGGAACATGAATTGCAGCTTGGCGAACCTCACGGAGGCCATTGGTGTAGTCGAGTTTTTGGTCGTTGCGTCGTGTTTTATGATGATCTCCATATTGACTCGTTTCGAAAATTCTCACATTTCACACACAGTCTAACTATGTTCTACGATTTCTTACGATCACTTTTATGTCTACATGTATCAAGTGTCTTTCTTCGCGTTCCGTTCTACAGGCTACACTGCGTACACAAAGTTTGGAAGTCGTTGAGATGCAATCTTGATTGAACGTTCAAGATCGCGCGACACTCTGCAAATGGCACTTTGTAACCAATCTCGTACGTTCATGCCGCTGTTGTTATCTGCAAAATATCAAAAACCAACCCGTGCGGCTTGGTATAAGGAATACCAAGGCAACATCGAGTTCTAAATCAACAGTTTCCATGGTGTTCGCATTATTTCGATACATATCATCATGATATAAAGTCAAGTCATCATGATGTAAAAATAGAGAGTTAGAAATATATCGAGGCATTTGCTTCACATCCACGAAGAAAAAAGTTTTTAAATATTTTATATAGTCTAAATCCGTATTAATTAATCATCACAGACTGATTATAAGTGTGTGCCACATTATCAGGATTTCTATTTAATTGTGCCTCGTTGGCCTCAATCTAAACTTAATAGCAAGGAGGTGAGACCGCAGCGAAATAGATCGAAATCCTATCAAGTATATGTGGTCACTTGAATATTACATCGCGTGCTACGATAATATCGATTGAACATATAATTAATGAAAATAAAGGATTTAAGAGAGATGCTTCATTTACACGTCATCGTGCTTATTGATCTAGTGCGACTCTATCTGATGTCCTGCTGTGGAGTACATTTACGCATCGCTACTGATGACTATCAAAATAACTATCACGATCTGAAAAACTTGGCGATCGATCGTATCTAGATCTTGGATTCTCATAAACTGTCGACAAGTCATTTCTTTTTTGCCGTTATTTCTACTTTCGTACACATGGCGATATTTCTTTTTGTGTCTCTCCTACTGCAATTTATGCTAGACGGTACAGCACAGACAAGATACTGCTTTTTATGATGGCAATGAAATTTCGTAATAATGGAAAAACGTGTCGTTTAAAGCTACCCGAAATGATCGTGCAATCTCGAAAGTCGTTAACCTAATTTCGCGTGCATTATGTAAGGCGTTAAAACAAGAGGAGTCGTAGATGATATATAATCCTTGATTGTTACGTCTCATAAATTCTTAATAATTGACAAAAAACGTCGATATAAGTGATGTATCGTTACGTAAAACTTACTCGATCAACTGTTATCTTAATACATATATAAATTGAGAAATATCAGTTTAGAATAATATAATACACTGTTAGACATCAAAGGAGCAAATAACAATTATCAATTAAAATAAAATTAATTAAAACTCAACCTCTTGAATTAAATAACATTTTATTATTTTTAATTTCCGTGAATATCAAAATATAAATCCCTTCATCCCCGTGCGGACATAGTTTGAAGATAAATTCGTCCATTAACGCGTACGCGCTTAATAAATAATAAACTAAATTTACGTCAAATTTAACACATTTCTTTGAGTTAAATTGTTTAATTCCATTGTTTAGTTAAATTATTGACATATATATTGAAGAGGAACAGTAGTGACTTACAGAAATGATTCAAAATAACTCGAATTACATAGGAATAATTTATGTATAATTAGAGATATTTGTGTGAATTAAACAATGTACTCTGAACTTTTAAGTTCTCTTCAATTAAAATGTACTAATGATAATGCAGCGTATTAACATGTGCCATAAAATCACATAATTGTCGTGATTTAAAATACCGCGTGATGCTTTACTTTTGACTTTATTGAGATGAATTATTTCGGTCTCATCCTAACAGCAAGTGGGTTGCTATTTATGATCGTACATCAAGCGACATGTGCGTTTATCACTCGAGCCCTTTTTATATTTTACACTCGGGAATCTAGCTTCATCGTTTCACGTGCTGCTAGCTTCCTATCGGCTTTCTTCCGGTTAAGCGAGCTGCCGCAAACCGCAGAAAAGAATACCGCCACGACGATATTGCGCTGAAATATGTCTACCGCAGACAGATTCTTCGCCAGGTCAAAATGGGCATTCAAGAGTTGCATCACAAAAGAGGCGAACGGTTATATCACCATTGCGAGAATTCAACTCGTGGAAGATTCCTCCCTTTTGCAAATATTTCTCCTCGTCGCGTTTCTTCGCGCGTTAGCAAGTGGGAAATAAAATTCGTTTTATATGGCTCGTTTTAATATATCGCTCCCTTATAACGTCCTTATAATTCTTGCATGCGTCGCGTTTTAACCTTCGAACAACGACGATACAAAATTATCGTTGTTAATCACATAATTAATAGCTATTAATACGCAACGGTTATTTACGTGACGGAGTAAAACGTTTTTTTATGAACCAGTTATTTTTATTCTTTCTCATGCGGTCGCTCTATGTCTTTCCAATATCAATTGCAGATGGTTGATGGCATGTAAACATATAGTAAAGCCGAATGAATATCGATTCACTATCTACTGCGTATCAACTTGAATGTTTATTATGCTATATCCGTCACAGAGATTACTATTCGTAGTATAGTGGGCGGTTCATTCTTGATAGTTTTTCTGAAAGCTTTAAGTATATCTTTCACGTTACAAGACGGTTATTACTGACACGATAAATTCCATTCGATATCATTCGTCAGCGATAAAGTTGTTCCCCTCAGTGCTTCCTATATTCTCTATGAAAGTGAAAAGCGAGATGCGATGTAGTAATAAAACTAATCTCCGGGAACGTTTTCCAACTATTTTATAGATTTCACTTTAAGCCGACTTAAGCCGCTTCATAGTTAATTGAATTAAGAACAAAAGTTCGATGGATTGGCGACCAGAAATCTGTCGGAAATCGAGTATTTCGACGCAACAAGTCACCGCCATACATCGATTATCTGATGCCCGTTGAATAAATTTTCTTTGCAAAATTGTCCCAAGATATATAAATTGTTCTTATCAAAGAAGAATATCATTACGAAATTGATCATAAATTGATATATTCGCTTGTGCGATTGGATTTGTATATTTTGAAGCTTCCACTGTGCGCGAAAATTTCTACCTTTAAAAAGGATTTTCATGAGTTTACGGACGAAGTAAATAAATATATCAACCAGTGGCGAGAGATAGAATTTATACATAATACTTTATACATAAAAAGGATATTCTTTGATTTATAGAAAATTTTAGAATTCTTGCAACGTCTACTGTTATTTCCACAAATTTGGCTCACCTCATAAATTTCACAAAAAATCTCTGTCCGCTTTTTCATACAAAAATCGAGAAATTTATATTCTCTTATATTCTCTGTAAAATAGCATAAATGATTTATTTATGCTTTCATGGTGTACGGATATCGTAAGTAGTATTTTAGAATGAAGTGATTTGTAGAAGAACTTAATTGTATGTGGGAAACATTTTTGTTGAAAAAAGAAAATAATATAAAGCACGTTTACCCGGGTGAAACATTCCGTCAGAGAAAAACCTTCACTTGGCTGCTTCTGAATAGCGTAAAAGACCATAATCTTGTTAAAAGGAGTCGAGATTAATTCACAACGCATCATGTATAGCGAAAAATGGGACAAGCCTGCGGGGATTTTACAGATTATACGTAGAAGATTTTCTTGTGCGTGTATTTATGGAGAAAAACATCCCTTTGAAACTCGCACATGACTGGGAGTGAGAGAGAGAATTCGAGTGCACTCTAGGATAAGAAAGAAAACTACTGTTATAATTACTTGTATTGTAGCGGAACTTCAGAGGAATTACCACTTGCGTGGCATCGTGCTATATGCAGTTTAATGCGAACGTAAATTTTAATTTTCAATTTCATCACGACACAGTTGTTATTTATGGTGCCTTTTCATTAATGTAATTTTTCTCTCAGGATTTCCGCGAAAAAAAAGCGATGTAAATTATTCTTTCAGTTTTCATGATGATTACAAGAAAGACGGACTTGTAAATCTGCTTTCTTTAGTTTTCGTAAATTATTTATAAATATATATAAGTATTTAGGTGTATTTTCTTGGACCACTTTCTGCAACACGCAATATGCAATATCACAAACGTTCTATCAAAATGGTTGTGGTAATTTACCTCGTACAATACGCAAAAAAACCTGTACACTCTTTCTCCTTTATTACAATTTCATCCTGAACGTTTGGAAGCTACAATAAAGAAAAAAGGGTACAGTTTCTTTGCACGAGGTTAATTGCGATATCATTTCTTGATAAGATGTTAATGATATAGGCAAGTAACATATGTTCGTGTGTTGTCGAATGTCCAAATAACATAGATATTTTGATATATATAGTTCGCGTAAAAATAAAAAAACAGAAAAATAATTACTAATCTAATAGCTTTGACGATACCGTTGTTGTTATTCGAGTCTTGTCTCACGCGCGTATTTTTTTATCCTTTTCTAACAAGATCGACACATAGGTCGAAGGTTTCGTCGGAAATGGGATACAGGAGAGACCAGGTTAATCTCATTCTAGATGGAGAGAAAACGATTTCCCGCAGATGGCAGAATCAACTACAAAATTTATACGATGCTGCAGAAGTTAGTTTTTCGAGATAATGTCTGGCGCATATAGGCGAAATTTATCCAGCAACAGGTCTCTCTTTCTCGATGTTATTATTATCAATTGTCATAAAACCATTCTTGCGTAGCAGAAGCCGGTGATCTTACCGGATCATTGAAACAAAAGAATTAATTCGTATAATTTCGTCGATGTGCAAG